TGAAGGCATTAAAGATGTTCTATTCAACCTGTAACTCTTAATTATGCTGAAGAATCGGTTACAGTATGGTTAGTACTGTTAATCAACAAACTTCAGCAGTAAGTAACTGAACCTTATGAGCACATTTTACTCCTCGACTACATTCTAAGGAATATCGGCCAACAAAGAAATTATGTGATCTACCAATGGACAAGGTTTTTATTAATCAAGATTTATTCGTTTGCTAATTAATAATGGCACAGCATTGGAAAAAAAAATGCATAACAAAAAAAAGCGAAACACACTTTATGCATGTAAATATATTCTCTGCAGTTGTAAATACGGTAATAAACAATCTGTTGAAGAACTATAAAAAACGTATAGTGGACTTTCAGTAAGCTTCTCTGTTGAAAATTGTAATATTTGGAGGCATGTTTCACCTGATTGAAGGATAACTTTCCTCCACCTTAGTTAAACACCTATCCTTTTATAGCCTAATTATATCTATACAAGTGTTTTACATCATCTAGTAATTACTATAATCATAGCAGTAGTAGTTATTGATTTCTGTTAGAATTTAAAACTAATATTTTGACGTATAATTTTAGTGTTTAAAATTTACAACCTATGGTGATGACCTTATCTATTTAACTATAAACAATAAATAGTTCTTAAAAGACATAGTTGAAGGAATACCTACAAATTATGGACGTTTAACGGATGTTTAACTCAAAAATAATGGTGATACTAGAACGGATTGGACAAGATTTCGGGCCTATTTAAAAGAAATCATTCAAAGGTTAACATTGGCTACTGAACAGGTCGTATTTAGTTTACAGGATAATTTGCCTACACAGTAGAATCAGTGACTTTAAAAATTATAAGTATTGATTTTAATTAGTTGGTTAGTTTCACCTGTTTCATTTACAACTATGAAGGATGGTTTCAGTTTTCAGTGATAGGCGTAATCCTCAGTTGAGCATTACACTATTTGACCCGACATGTGATCTGTGCTTATAAGTAGTATTCATAGTGGACTGATGTAAGTTGGAGAACCATTGAAAACCTGGAAGCAGTGGACAGCTGTTCCGTTTTAGTAGTGGACTCCCCAGCAGTATGCACCTCCAACCTCGCTAGGAATCGAACCCAGGGCCTCTAGGATTCCTGGCTAGCGCCTTAACCATCCAGCTACCGGGTAGGAGTCTAGTGGTTCTCAGTTTCCTACATATCCCAGTTCACAAAATAGCGCGACTATCCACTAGCCTTTCATTCGGTGTCCTCTTCCCTCCTGACTGATCGACTCCAGAGTTCACCATTCCTCATTGGAACTTCGGAGCATGTTTCGAAGCATGTCACTAATGAACAATATGAAGTAACGTAATTTAAGATTTATAGGGACTTTATTTCAAAGATAGCATTCATCACGATTTATCGCGAAATGATAGAAGTAGGAGACAGTGGATCACTGGACTCCGGCCAAGTGGTTGAGTGGTTAACGCGTTCATGGTGAAAACTGGGAGTCTTGGGTTCGACCCCCAACAAGATCGGGATGTATACCACTGGGGGGTCACATACTAGGACGGAACAATTATCCGGGACTCTGAGGTTCTCTTCAGATCTCCAACTGATGCCAGTCCATGATGAATGCTGCCTTAGAAATAAAATGCTTTAATTATAGACCAATATCTATAGACTACCTATTGTAAACCACAGAGTTCAGAACGACCAATCTATATCACTTATCAACTCATTATATATTTTTTCACAGTTTAAATCATAGCACAGAGATTAACCATGATTATGTTGTTCTTTACCAACTAGATATGTCTTCAGTGAATAACAAAGAGTAAATTTTCCAACTGTTGATATCACGCCTATCAGTTTATTAGTTAATTGTAGGTTGCAATTTGAAAGATGCAGAGTATGTCTGTAAGTCAGAGTTGTACGCCAGGAGAGGATGAGAGTTCTATCTAAGATTAAATCACTTTCAGGGTCATTCAAGTAATATCTAACTTTTATTTGCCTTGTTAAATCGACCTGTCATTTAACTTTTTATCTAATTATATAGTGATTTTGTTGAATTATAACATATTCAATGCTTTTGATTCTTAAGATGATGGGAATGCATCGACATCTGATAAAAATACTTCCACAATTTCATTACAACAGTGAAAATAATAATGCGACACAGGTATTGTGTGCTGGTTCACACACGATGCTAGAGGACGCAGCCTTCCCATGAAGATTAATGTCTGTCCACAGGTTGATAGGATAGGTCAGGCTCGGAGCCTATAAATGATTGGTTGACAGTTAAATGCTTGACAGAATATATCACAGGTACATTCAAATCCAACGTAATTGCATTTCTCGATTTAATCAGTAGATCTATACTGTCTTTACATGTTTTTTACTGTCAATCAATTCGGTTGACTTCGTGAAAACTCATAAAGAATATAGATTTGAGCAGCTGCATACCTCTATAATCCAGTGGTTGCATCTTCAGTTATTCACAATCTTGCCATTGACCCTTTTATTCTATGTTCAGTATCAATGTAAACAAATCGGTTTCATTTCAAATTATATCTAGCACAAACTAGTTTTTCTCTAGTCAAGTTGCACGTTACCCTTATTCTTGGAACAAAGTGGCAGTTATAAAAACTCTGCCTGTTCGAAAAGAAGTGGTTATTGTGACTCAGTAGCCTAGTGGGTAAAGCTACAGAGTTTGAAGCGGTGGTTTCTGGATTTCATTCTTAGTGGGAAAAAATTCACCCACTGGAAGGCAGTTATATCCATCTAATCAGTTCAAAATAAGGTGAAATAGGTATCCAGGACTCCATTGCTAGCCATTATCTGTCATCAGTATCATAATTACATTGTCCCTTGCGACTGAATTATTTAGTAGTTCATTCAATATAAACTAGGAAAACAACAGCCCAGACCAAAACAAACAGTAAAGGGCTTCGTAGTTGTAATTTGTGCTACGGTTTGATTATCTTGTAGATTATTTTACCCTGATCAAACGTGAAATTTATGTGTCTGATAATACTAGTCGGCTATCGTTGATTTAAAATCATCTCCTTAGCATTAAAACCTTTTTCTCTTCAGTGGATTAAAACAATGTGGTATATAAGATGGACTTTTAGGAGGATAAAAGAGAGATGATAATTTAGTGCATTTCCTCTTTACTTTTTACCGATATTTTGTCATCGTTTATTCTAGGTGAAAAAAAGAAGTAAATGGCTGTGACACCGAGGTTGAATCTTTCCAGGCAAAACACTAAATATTTATATTGACATCTCAGTATCTAATTTATTTTTAGGTCTTCGAAAAGAATAACTTTTCCTCCGTATACAGTAATTTAAAATAAGACTATAACTAATTGACAGAAATATATATATATATATATATATATATATATATATATATATATATATAGTTGTAAAAAGTAATTCTTTCTACAAACAGTAAATTTTTACACTTTTCTTATTTATTAATGTCTGAACCAGTAGCTTTTATGGTGTGCCGTGTTTTACGTGTATACAAAAATCAGAAGGAAGGCTGATTAAAAGTTTTGGTCTTTTTTCCCTAGCAGTTTTGAGACCATTCTTCACAAAAAAATGACACTTTTTTTACAAGGATACACCACTGTTCCATAGGATCGTATCATTAATGTATTACATATGCACTAAAGTATTGGAATGGGCCAGGCATCTTTTATCGGTATGTGATCTGGTCTAACTTGTAGTAGAATTTTATCGAAAGCAAGTTCACCATTTGCTGCTGAAATTCTTGATCTGACGACAACTTTCTGAGTCATAGTGGAGTTGCAGCTCCTTGGTTTAAGCCTTCAACTTTCAAGTGATCTGTTCTGGGATCAAATCCCACGCCATCTACTTCGACCTAGGCAACCGGAAACTATCATAAGCCTTCACAAAACAAGTTTGTCTCATAGCCTAGTGCATAAATACATTAATCAGGTTGGGCTGCATGATTTAGTGAGAGTATCGACATGAGAGAATAACTGTTTCACTGAAAAGGGCAAGAGTGTTTGAATTTGATGTAATTCATTTTACGCGTAATTCTCGTATTGTTCCTGCTTAAATGATTGACAAGAGGTAGAAAAGTGCAGTATAGAACCCAATAATGTTGTGGGTCATCCAAATTATCCCACTTCATATAATGAAGGTCAAGCGATGAATGAATGAAAAAAATGAGGATAATAATGGTGATAATGGTTGAGACTAGAAAGAAAATAAAAGAAATAAAATGAGAGGGGGAGTCAAATATGTTGACTGATAAAGCATTCAAGAAACAGAAAACGATAAGATGTGTACGCATCTGCACCACAAAGATCATCTCTTCACCAGGCATCTTGGTTTCAGTCACCGATTTTAGTTGTCTTTTAATGTAACTCACCGCGGTTTATTTTTATGCATTAGGTTATAAGCAACACTTATTGTGAGGGGATTTATAATACTACTCGATTGCTCATCCCAAAGAAGGTGGGGTATGATTTAAACCTGGGATCCATTGCAGGAAAAAGTGGGATGCTTAAGCCTGTGAGCTAAATCACTAACTAGGAAGTTTACAGATCCATGCCCAACCCAAACCGTAGACTGGTATCATTTCACGGTACCATTATCCTAAGAATTACTGTGTCCTGATCAAATGTTAAGTTCATGTGAGTTTTATATATCTAACGTTGCTCATATACGAGGAATCACTACTTCATGGGTTGGTTTACCTCCTAACTTAAGATCTGGTAATTTCTTACTATTTCAGCGGACAAGCTGTACTAGCAAATACTTGGTGTTCGAATACTCGCAGTACGTACATGCCATCCATTTTCGATGGCCCATATTGAAATATTACTTTTGTAATAAAAACCGGTTCAGAACTAAGATATTAATCACTGAAGTGCTTCCGACTTTGATTTCATTCGGGTTGATGAGCGAATTTTATTTACTTGATTGCATTTCACAGCTTTTGTTTGAATACATACTATTTTTTGAATATTTTAGCTGGTGAAAAGTGGAAGACTGAATGGGACTATCGAATTTCCTTTGGCGGACAAATTTTTAAGATTCACCTTCCGAACAACGATTTTACATCTAGCCTCTCGGGGAAGTGAACCTGGTTTAATGATCGAAGCTGGCTCTGATACAAAACACGTGTTATGTGTCCAGTCAATTAAATGTCCAGAACCTGTTACGACAACTACTGCACCTACCACAGAGCCTTCAACAACAACAACGTTAACTGCAATCCTAGCTGGTTCAAATAATCTCTCCGTCTTATCGTTGGCATCTAATTCAGTGAGTCATAGTGTTATCGGTTCATCTGGAAATGGAAACGATGAAAACAACGATCGCAGCTCTTCTGCATTTTGGGACACTTTGCTATCTGGCACTGAACCTAGGAGCTGGTTTCTCGCTACCATCTCACTGGCTAGCTTATGTCTAATTCTCATAATCGTGCTCATTATAACATGGTTGTATATATGTCGCCTCCGTAGGCTGTACAATCGAAGGCGTTGTCATGGGACGTGTCGTTTTGGCTGTCGCTGTCCACCAGAAATTGTTCGGCAGACGGCAGCCGAGGCTGCAGTATGTGGTCCCTTAAGTCTACAAACACATCAACCATTTACAAACGCAATGTCACCTCAGGGAAATGGTTCTGTCAGAAGTGGTAGTGGATTTGGAAACACTTTATACACTGGTGGGACATTAAACTCAGGCCGATGGGGTTCAAATGGCAACAAAATTGGCTCTCCATTGTACGTGGCTATGGGTTCTGCACCTGACAAAGCTGCTTTATTGAATGCTGGATGCACTACACCTAACTGCATACTTGAAATGTCTGGAGGTTTACCAATAGTTAATACAATGGATGGATGTAGTGGATCATGGAATCAAACAAGTGGGAAATTTAGAAATCCTCGTCTGCGTCCAAAAAGAACGTCACAAGACGCTTTAAGACGAAGCACGAGTGAAGGCTCTAGTGTGTCAGGTGCGACAGGCACAGCAGGAGCCAATAACAGTGCAACAGGAGTAGACCAGGGTTCTTTTGTTTTCCGTTCAGGACAAGCTGATGGAACTATATCAAATATTCTGCCTGCTATGGTTGTAAGCAATACAAACGCTGGTCAGCGTGGAAATGAATCAACAGGAGCTGTCTATCTACAGACTGGTCCGAATGGATATAATTACTCGGATAGCGGTAGAGGTAGTGGGATAAGTCCAGGTTATTCGCATTCACCTACACATATGAACAGTCGAAAGACTAATGACAGGACATATTTCAACAGTAACAGTAATAGTGGTGGTAGTAGTAATAATAATAACATTCAGAATGGCCTGATTAATTCCAAAGGTCCAATTAATATGGATGAAGAAGTTGAAAGCAGATGTGATATGAATTATTTAGGCAATCAAGCAAACAAAATCCTATCCAATTTACAGTCGGATCATTGTACAGATTTCAATAATTTCAATTCAGGTAGGTTCAACTTTGCCTAACTGAATATATTTTTGTTTTAATTTTCCCTCTCTCCATTATATTTTACAATTTGATTTATTTCTGTCCAGTAATTAGCAGCATTGAATAACTAACTACATAATAGCCTACCAAGTGTACATATAACTTATGCATGAGATAATTATAGATATGCTCATTTCACATTTATGTTGAATATTTCACTAATTAGGCTTACCTACTCCCCATTCACTTACGTTTACCTTCATTACTACATTTACTGTAAAGTTTGTAGTTCCCTAATTTATGGAAATAACTGAGAATTACTGCGATCACTTTCAGAAAGGAAATTCATAGTGTAGATATCATTAAAGAAGACTGTACTGAGAGTTTTGATCTACCGTAGCTTATTGTCAGGGTGCATCTGAATTCTTTCAAATAAATATGTTCTCTCTCACATTCAAAATATCATGCAGCTTAAATTCAAGGTCATTACCTATCTACTTTACGACTTCACTGAGTGTAAACTAAACCTTTAAAGTACCCCCATTAGCGGCTTCTTCCGTCTCTTCTTTCACTCAGAGTTTCCTAATATTTTTTATGGTAGCCATTGTTTTGGCTTATTGGAATTAGTGTTTTTTTCAAAGATGTCAACTAACGGTTCATGCATCCACTGGAAAATCTGCTTACATTCCATCATTAAGAGTTTCATGTTCGGCTGTATAATAATCAATACAGCAGCAGTAAATTAGTATTCATTACTGATTGCTTACTTGGCTAGCATTCACCAGTTAGTCACTCATGGATCTAAAGAGTTATCATCTTTCACTTCACTTTTAATGCCAGAAATTTAGTGAACTGATATTCTTTTCATGTTATCTGATTATGTACAAACGTAGCTATTCACTTCCATGACTTTCACATAACTTATCATCTCTGACTGTATCAATGTCGAATTCTAAAGACAGTCCTCATTATTGTTCCAGCCACTGTTCTCTGTAACCCTGAAGCTGAATTCTTAGACTTTAATTAACATTGCATTAACCTATTTTGTTTTAAATTCTATGTAAATAAGTTTACTTTCGTGCGTTCAGTACAAATGTAAGAGTTCCTGTGAATACCACCTTGATATAATAACCTTAATATAATGTTCCATATTTTCCAAATATTCAGTGTTTTAGTGAAAAAGAAGCCACTTCTAGTTATTCCTAGTTGACGATATGAATAGAGTTTAGAGTCTTTCACATACCGGTGAAACCATACTGTATCTTTACCTTGGAAATGTTTGAAGACTCAATCCCATACTTAAGAACTGTTTTCATTTTATTAGTATGAGTGGATGAGACAACGATAAATACTTTTCTTGAGTAGAAATCAATACTGAACTAACTGAATTGAAAGTATAAGTGAAGCTTCCTTCTGGATTTTACCTGATATTGTTAAATTTTCAATCAAAACCAGTACTTCTAGTCAGTAGTTCTTATAATCTTAATTGTCTTCAGAATTAGACGTAAAAACCTACCCTTTCTATTGTGAAACTATGTGGCTAGTAGACTTCATTGTCTGCATTGTTTGTTCAGGTACTAGTTTTCGTATATAGTACACTGTGTGATAAACTAACTTTTAGTTTCAACTCATTCCATTAAACCCATAAATACTATCAGCAAAATAATAAAACCAAGTGAGATTGGTTGCTATGATAGAGATTTCAAGGCATACGTTGATCGAAAAATTTTCTTCTCATTTATTAAGTGTACATTATGGCATAGATAGATAAGTTAGATAGCTATGGGACACTGAAAGGTATCTTTAGAAAATGGCGAATGAATGAACATTTCATCAGTATGTACATAATACGCATCTGGGTTAGTTAAAAAGTCTGTGGAGGAATTCGAAATTCCAAAGAGTTTCCTAGACAAAAAGCCAGAGAAAAAACATCCATTGCAAAGACTAAGGAAGCTGAGATACCCAAAGTGAGAGTTGTCTTCTTGCTATCTGGGACTCTAAAGAAAACCTGGGTCTAAGGAATTTAAAACTGATTTAGTCAGCTTATATTTCAGGTAAGTGATTAAGTTTTTAGTAAAAATAAGCATTTTTAACAGGCTAAGTACCATATAAGATGATTTTACTTGATATGGTTATACAGAAAAAACCAATGTACCATGTAATAATACTCAACCACAGTTTCCAAGTTTTACGCTTGCAACCAAATACTGACCAACTGGGAAGATTTAACAACACACATATTCTTTACAGATTAATATTTTGAGACGGGAGTAGAAACTATTCAAAGAGCATAGTATACAAGAAATTATTATCGGTCACTGGGGAGTGTTAAAAATATGCCATCCTTCATCTTAATGCAAGTCTTTATTGTTTCAACAAAGTTTTATGCAGCACTGACAGTTGACGGTTGTAGTTTGCTTTGTGAATCCGTTTACTCTGACGTTATTTTACAATGATTCGATACTATTTTGATTCCTGATGATTTCTACTTAAACTATCCTCAATGATTCACTAGATTTTGTCATACTATAAGACAGTGTCCGGTTGGTGATATGTTCTCGTTCTAGTAGATATCACATTTACCGGGTCAGCCGTTTTATCGTCACTATTTTCTTCTTTCATTGTGTAATAGCTACTGAGTAATACTTACGCATTCAGTCTACGCTAAACTTATACTGCAATAACTTTGATGCGATGAATTAGCGCCTTAAAACTTTTATTTAGGTATTGGCTAGAATCCGAAATGCGCTACTCGATTATTTAAACAATAAATACATTAACTAGAAGCAACTGATTTTTTCAACATTTAACTAGTTTACTTCCTTACAAATAAGAAAAAAATGTGAAAATAGATGTCGGAGACAGATTGTTTTCGTGAAACTAGGAATATGAATCAATTAAATTTGGTCATCCAGTCAAAAGTGGAGGTATGTAATTTGGTATGGTGCAAAATACAGTATTGTGTTTGTGTGTCTGTGTATGAATGAGTGAGTAAGTGCGAAACTGTACCCAGTTCAAAATGCACACCTTGTAAGATAAACAACCATACTGCTTAAATTTTAACTATTCAGTAATAACTATAAATTCTTATTAACTTTGACGCTAAAACCTTGATTCTTGTTCAAATGGTAGGCTAGATGACGAACAGATGAGATTCCCAGTCATTCAAGTTGGTTCCGTTTATTATCGTTAAAAGCCTTTAGACTAATGTAAGTAGTGTGGGACGTTAGCATCAATGAAAAGGGAGATTCGAAGATAGAGCAATCTATACATGTCTAACAGCGCGATTAAAAGTGACCGTCAATATTTAGTTGGACAGCTTAACAACGGAAATGGCTAGTCAGAAGTGAAGTTAAATGCAACTGACTGGCTTTATGTAAATTTGTGGAGTACTGACTTTGATCAGTTATTTACTCCCGCAGCAAATCGAATGTCATCCATCGTGTAACATCATTGAGGCCATCACATTTATCCGTCCCCTCTGTGTTACTTCCAGTCTCGGTTTCATAAACTAGGTTCATCATGATGTGATATACGTTTTAGCGAGTTGTAAAGCAGTTGCAGTTATTTTTTATTTACTACTACCTCGGAAGGCGTATGCTAGTGTCTTCTCTCCCTAAAATCTCTCTACCAAGTATGCCTATATCTGCCTGTTGAATATGATGACTTCTGCATTCACATTGAAATTGAACATGAATATACGTGCAGATAAAAATCGCCTGTCTGAAATGTACTCATTCGATTTCTACAACACAAATGATAAACAAGATGAAATTCCACTAAATATATCACTGTACATAGAAACGATTTTTTCTACCTTGGATATTCCTTCATCATAGGGAGTTTAAAAAAATAGGAGGTAAATTAAAAACAAGCAGTCTTTTAATAATATGTATCAGATTAGTTATGTCCCATTAAAAACAACAGTTGAAATAGAGAAAGAGAAATGTGATGAGCTTTTTGATGTAATCACATGGATGCTATTTGAGATATGTATCTTGTTGAAATGACTATTGTCTGCTGTCAGACTTAACCACTTTAGTTATTAAATTGCAGTATAACTCAACAACAATGCACAACCTATCTTACTAGTCTGGAGGTATCATTACCCGAATAAGGGTTATCACACTATCCGGTTGCTCGAATCGCGGTAGGAGATAGGATGAGATTCATATCTGGAACTTTCTGGTCGGGTGTTGAGTACTTGAACAGCCATTCTATCTCGTTGGTTGCCAAACTCTTCAATTTTGTAGCAATGATGAAGTAATCTGTTAAAAAGTCTATGTTATAATCACTGACTAAAATGGAACTAAAGTTCCTATTGTATTACTCTGGTACTCCCAAAGTTGCCACCTCGAATATCATTGTCTCCATCATTACATTTCATGAAAAGTCATCACCTATATATATGCACAGATGTATTCGCTAATGAAGTGTCTTCATTTTCCTCATAAGTTTAGTACTGAAAACAAATAAGTGTTATTTGTTATTCTAGAGCACGAAATTCCACTGTAGGCTAAACCCCACTTGTTAATGGATATGTCAAGTGAATAGAAAAGATTTTATGTTATGGATAATAGAAAATCATTAGATACTACGATAAAGTTAACTGATAAAGTAAATTACACGACCTGCTTTCTGATCAGAACTTATCTAGATATTTGGAAACTAGTTATTAAAAAGTCAGGCATTATGAAAACTATATATCTCTCAAGGTTAAAGATTTGTTTCAAAATGTAAGTAATTCTCATTTATTTGTTTCGATTCTAGAGTTGAATACCAGTCGAATACGATGATGCTATATACTGCGACACAGTATCAAGAAAGAGTAATTGTCTATGCTGCAAAATAGATACGAGAAGTTAAATCCTTAAAATTGAGGTTGTGTATACGAAATCCTAACTAGAAACGTAAAATAAATAAAGCGTCACTAATTTTTTGCTACGTGGTTCCTTTCATTCGGACTTCATGGCCATAAAGTTATTTATTGACTAGTGCTTATGAAGTAGGCATGATACACTCATTGAGTGAATAAACGGACAGAGTGAAGAAAATGCTAATGAAACGAATCAATGAATTTATAAAAAGAGAATGCAAATAAAGGTGTCTACACATTCATATAAAGGTGAGAACAAGGGATTCTGCAGTCCTTAAGCAAACCTCAAATGACCTTGAACACACCAATAAAAAAAGGTTTTCACTTCATAATCTAACAGAAAAATGTAGACAAATCATTATGGATATAATTTCTTAATCAGCGTAGAAATCTATCTAATTTTTCGAATTGTTTTCACCACTTGAAGTCGAAGTGTTTACGATGATAAAGATATTCATCCATGCGACTTTATAGCATTAAACCACGTAAGTTATGATACCGAAGTAAATAAGCCTCCAAACAACTACACATCACCTCCACATTATTTTGTGTACTCGGGGATAAAAATTATGTCTCAGAAGCAAAAAGACAGATTTTAAATAAAAGTTTACACATTTCAGAGTATTAAACTCAATAATTAAGTGATAAAGTCGTGAAAAATGTAGTGAGTAGGTCTACTTTTCAGTCCTGGCAATAACATCATTTCAACAATCGTAAGCTTTCTAGAAAAATTGCACATTCAACTTGGTGTAACTGATCACTTCAAGATCATCTTAGAGTTGCTTCAGGACATTAAAATTCTATATAAGTACCATAAAAGTCACAGCAGCAGACTTATGTATCATTAATACATATTTGCTAATAGGATTGATCCCCAATCATTTTATCTAGTATCTATAGTTGCTATCTTGAAGTTTCAACAAGAAGTGAACTTAACTGCTAAAATATTCCGTCCATGTAAGTCACACTTTTCAAATTTATCAGCATATAGATTTTTATATTGTGACTAGAAAAAGGATAGGCTACACTACCGTTTCTTGCTGCTCATTATTTATGTGACTGATCATTCAATAGCTCCCTGAAAATTATACAAATTAGTTTTTCACCACTCTCGATTATCCCAGATAAGTGTGACCCCTTTCTTTCTCAATAATATAATGAATGGTAAAATAAGCTACAAACATTTGTATCACGCATAATAGATTCTTCATTTCTATGAAAGTTCCACCCATATTTAATGAGTATTTAAGAAATGAAACTTCAGTTTCTTGATTTACTAACTTAGTTAAGGTCAGGTTTATATTTACGTTTATAATCAACATCAATATTGTTATTCTACCTACAGACTGATGAGTTAAAAGATACTTGGATGGAAAATCCCAAATTGTTTCTGAAATTAATGAGTTTTGTAGTCGATATCAGCGGAAGTAATGATACTCGTAGTTTTATGATGAGTTGGAAAACTTAGGGTGTTTTCATCAGTTGCTACATAAGGAAGGTCCGGTGAGATGTCTATACTTATGTAGCTGTACTTGTACAGGAGTAAAAATTACCGATACAGACTAAGTGAATCATGATTTGGAAGTATTTATCACTACTAACTGACACTAACGAAGGTTGTTACTATTTGTGAGTTAAGAGTTGAGAGGTTTCATGGTGAAGTAGAAAACCCGTAATTTTGAATTTTATATGGATGACTTTGACTGATAAACTGCCAGTTTACACCTATATAAAGTTGACGTAAGTTACTGTCGTTAAGTAAAGAATAAGTCATATGTAGACCTAATAATAAACGAGATTTTTGGACACATCACAAGTAGGTCGAAATATAAACCCAATGACTTATTGCCTGAAGTATTCAACTTTTGACCACTGGTTTCACTCAACCTACAGAGGTTTGAGCATTCAGTCAGTTTGATCAGATTCCAAACAATAGGAGTGAGTCGTGGTGTATTTTATGGAACGACTCATATAGCTAACAATCCTCATCAATACTTTCCTGGTATCCAAAACTTAAAACTAAAGAACCGAAAGTAATTAGGCGATTTCTTGCTTTAATCTTCCCAGCGTCTCATCTACAAAGCTTTCCTTTGTTTGCTCTTACCTTGTCTTATTCAAAGAAAAGCTGTCTTTGGTGATATTCAAACTCTAAGTATCCCTAAATTTTTTTTGTTTTTAAGATTGTGGCACAGTGAAGCCGTATTATTATTATTATTACTATTATTATTTATCCCTTGAGTTCCTAATGGAACATAGGGCTTCAGTAGCACGTCTCCAGTGCACTCTCTTCTCTGAAATATTTTCAACCTGCTTCCACGACATCCCAGAAGCTTTCATTTCTTCCTCGCACGATTTCCTCCGTGTTACCCGCGGACGCCCAACTCGTCGCTTTCCATCGGGGTCCCACTCGAGGGCCTGACCTGGCGCGTGATGTCCCCAACTGGTCTTCTCAGTGCATGCCAAATCTGTCTCCACTTCCTTCCAGTGCATATTTGTTGCTTGACAGGTTCTTGGTTGGTTCGTTGCGCGGTCAGAGTTCCTTGTTGCTTATTCTTTCTGGCTATCTAAGCTTCAGTAACGAGCCAGCGTAGGCAGCTGTTGATTAATGTCTGTAGTTTGTTGGAAATCCCTTTCGTAACCCGCCAAGTCTCTGAACCATCACATAGAAGCACTGACTTGACGTTAGTGTTGAAAATCCGGATGTCGTTCACACTTTGTGCTGAGTGCAGATCTCCACACCGGTTTCAGGTTAATGAAGGCCTGTCTTGCTGTTTTTCCGATCCTGACTTTGACGTCCTCATCTGTGCCTGTGCCACAGCCTGTAGTTGAAACAGTGCTGCCTAGATAGGTGAAGGAGGTTACTTCCTTTAAGTCTCTCCTATTCTTGGTGATTGGAGCTTGTAGTTGTTGGTCCGGTATCTTCACCTCTCTCTTCTCTACGTTCACCTGAAGGAAGTTCCGTCTTCTTTCTCTGCCCTGTCTCGCCTCTTCTATCAGGAATATCATAGGGGATAGTAGGTAACCTTGTTTCACTCCTGTCTTCACTTCAAAAGCATCACTGAGCTTCCCATTGTGAATTACTAGGCTGGCATATGGCGTCTTCATATAGTTGTTGAATGAGATTGATAAAGGTTTGTGGCACTCCGTGGTGTTGGAGCAACTGCCTGCCAAATTACTCCTTGGTCGACGATGTTGAAGGCCTTTTTTAAAATCGATGAAGTTGAGGTAGAGTGTTGACTGCCATTCTGTACTTTTTTCTATGGTGATGCGTAGTGCTGCAATTTGGTGTAGCCGTATACTCACAAGAATTATTTTGCCTTCGAAATGTGGATCCTTGCTTGTGGGAAACTGACCATGAGGTTACGAATTCAGCTGAATTTCCACTGAGCAAAATCTTTTTTAAAATTTTCTTTTCTGATTATACAACTTCATATGGCAGCCAGGAAACGCAGTTTAAAAAAACTTTCATGAGCTTAATTTTCGACATCTCAGTGATCCACTACTAATGATATGTACTCAGTATGAACAGGTTTGTTCCGTTTCTCTGTGTGAATAATACTCATGTATGTCTTTATGGTATTAATAACAATAATGATAATCTTTTGTTCTCATTTATTCATTGATTTGTTTAGAATCCCACAATATACCACTACTTCATTTGAATCGTGGTTCTGAAGCGGATTTATTGAATATTACTCCTCCATCGGGATTTTACGACTTCAATCATAACAATAATAACAATGGCACTAATGGAATGATAAATTCTGATTCGGGTTATCTGGCTAATTCGAATCTGACAAGTAGTATGCTTACAGCATCCCCTCGTCAACAATCACATCACATACATCAAAATCGTTTGATATCTAGTCCAAATAGTTTTGGTCGACAAATATTCAACCAACTGCCACCATCATCAGGAGGTTTACCACCTCATTCAGCTGGTTTAATTGGTAATAATACTGCTACCTCTTCGCTGTATCCAATTCATGGAAGTCCAACTAGTCAAAATGAATGGCATAATCCATCATCATTTACAAAATGTAACTTACAGAATGGTGAAATGGTTGGTGGTACAGATGAAGAATTCATCAATAGTTGTTCATCTATTGTACTTCCACCTAATAATGTATCTGAAATCTCTAATACAGGAACAGCAACAAGAATGCGTAAATATATGTCACCTAATTATAATGACAATAGTAATGGAGTGATTAGACCGTTGGTCTCAAGACCACACTTTTCTGATTCTTTGCATCCTGCAGTTAATCATTATCAACATCATTCTCATATTAATGAAAATAATATGACAACAATCAATAATAGATCATTTCATAATTCCGATGATACTACTCATCTAAATGGAACATTATCATCATCTTCAAAAGTTAATCAATTATGCACTGCTGTATCAGAGCGTATGTTGTAAATTCGATTCTTTACCCAAGTGTAGTTAAATGAACTGCAGGATTTATAGTATTTCTAGGAAGTATTCTTTCTTTAAATATTCATTTCGCTTTAAAATAATCTTAGATGCTTTTGAACACATCAAAGAAAGTAGTCATATCTTATTTTAAAAAAATGATTATTATCACTCTTAAGTTTACCCTTTCTGCATTTTGTTTCAATCATCCATTATTGTGCGTTATAAATCATCAGAATTCTAAAATAGCCTATAATTATGATTAGAATCCTGTTTTCTTTTCCTATGATTATGTAATAACGAAGTATTATTCATTATGATACCAATGGTTGAGAAAAATGGGCGAATTTGTGTGTATGTGATGGACTCTTCCCTGCTTACATTTTAAAACGCGTTCACATCATTTCTTACCTTACTACGTATACATATGTCATTTATTTGGAGTGCTGATTAAAATAATTATCATTTGTACAGTTATATTGTCTATGAAATTATATTCCCTGATGTCAATGGCATTTCTTGAAAGTGATTTTCGCTTCAACTAGGGCACAAGTCGCCTAAACATTTACATAGACAAGTTTACATGGGAATGCATACTTGAGTACTTCTTTGGTATCCATTCTATGCATACTTGCATTTATGGGAATGAAATCTGATGTTCGATTTTTTTCTTATGTCATAAGGAGGATTATGTTTTTAGAAAATATTATTTCATCAGTATAATCATGTTCAGATCCGAATACTGGCATTAATAGGGAAAAATAACTACAATATACTGTTCAATTTATATGATTATGCAAACACTATCGTCAAAGTAATAATCTAAATAAAGTATGCATGATGGGTGATCTTGTTTTTATCAAAACAACGATTCATTTCGTCATTCAATTTTCAATTCCATCGTCTTCATTTTGTTTACTAGTTTTGTTGGCTAGCTTATTCAGGATTTTGTGTGAAAAGAGACATTGCTTTTCATTTATCTGGTTGTATGCTAAATTTGCTGATCAAAAACCTACTTCTGTTATGTATGTTTGTGTGTGGTGCGCACGTGTATGTGAATCCATTCGCTTCATGATCGTTCATCTTAACTTATATAACTATTTTCGATTTCCCTTTCCTATGTGTACATGAGTAATTTCATTCATAATTGGCTTCAAGTTTTGTCTTGTTCGACGTTCTTGTTGTCATTATTCTAAATGCTGTTGATCATGATTAGGTATCTGTAAAAAGTAACTTATGGTTAAACGATAAACCAAACGACTCCAGTTTATGAAATAAAGACTTTTTGATTAAATTTCTTAACGTCTTTCAGTATACACTGACTAGCATACCAAAGATGAAAAGATTTGGAAAGGAACCATTCCAGCGGTAATAGTTCGCTGACAAAAAAGATTTCTCACTATCGTCGATTAGAATAAAACTCAGCTGTACTTACTGGTGACAGAAACAAGATGCACTTAAGATCCTTCTCTTCTGCCACATGACATTACTGTTTTGGAGATTTTGTCTGATGATAAACCCAGGTATCATTCATTCAGTGTTGACATAATGATTTCAATACAAGGAGATGGCTAGTTGAAAGCTTTTACTTCGATTCAAGTATAAGTGAATTATAAGACATGCATAACACTGTTAATTTTCATCAATTTTTCAGAAACCATCCTGAAACACTCATCAAACCCTTAAAACTACTGTTTAAATGGAAACTTAGAAGTGGATCAACAAAGAAAAATGAAATGACGCCAAGAATTGTTCAATAGGTTCATTGTTCATTCACAACAGCTTTTCACATTGCATTCTAGAGGTTTTATAGTATAGCCAGTGAATTCTCAGGATTTATGCACAGATGATGGAGGTATTATGAAAGGACAGTATTTGAATAAATAAAACCAATTGTAATATAAGATACTAGATGACTTTTGAAAAATCTAAATCAAGTGAAGACTTGAATCGAAAAACGCGGTACACAGTTTAGTTGGAGTACATACATTCTCATCATATAAATATTTGAAGAAACTAGCCAAGTATACGAGACTCAAGTCATATTCCAATTATTTTAGACAACATATGAGAAAGTTTTAACCTTGTTTCATTCACAGATAATAAGTTTCATTCATCATTTTGTTTGACTATATCTATCGATTTTTTATTGACCAATGAAATGTCAAACTTTATTTCAATTTATTATCAATATATAACTCAATAACCATAAGTAAATTATTGTAGTAAGCCAAGAATTACACTTCCTCTTTAGGGATAAAACACAAACTGATTACTGAAATCTCGGTAAATAAAGTCAAATTTGAAAGTCCATTGGGTTACAGCTGCACGAATTTTTCGAATTTATCCTTGATCATACTTGTAATCAGTCAAACGTTAGTTAATTTATTTCTTGAATTTTGTCTAGCTTTTGATGAACTCTACACTTGGATCATCGGCGTAACACATGGGTGGTTTATGAAAGAGACAGTTTGATTTTCATAATAATATTATACCTTGGGCATGAATATAAATTAAGTAGGGCTAAAAACTCGTCGTTAGCAGTCGACGGTGAACGCACTGTATCATGAATAGGCATATGTAGGGTAATATCAAATACCGGATTTCAAAATCATTGCTGAACGGTAAGGCATCAGCCAAAAAACCTAATGATCATGCATCTTGGGTGTGTACCGTCGCAGACTTAAAATATGACGAAGAATCTGTCCAGCACTTTCAGTTTTTCAATGATTATTTGTCCAGTGCCAATCAACATTGGAATTATATATCTTTCAAGTTCCGATGAAGTTTGGCTGTAAGCGAAATCCAAAGCCAAACTACCGCAGGTTTATAAATTTTAAACCCACACTGTTCTCGTCAGTAATATAGCTGAACTGAAAAGTGACAAAAAGAAAACCACAGGCAAATGGACACGTAACCTCCCTAGTTTAATAACTTCACCCGTCACTAGCCGGTCCCAAAACCGGATAAAGAGGGAAGGTTGGGCATACGGTTAACAACCCTAACCCCGAAAACAAATCCAACCACTTAAGAAACTCCAAAGCAAAAACAAAATATAAAAAAAGTAAAAATAAACTCATCCCTCACTGGAGTCGGGGAAACGAAATGACACCAGTTGGTGAAAGACTTCGGGAAGCCAATTGGCCGATTCGTCTTCTCTTCTCTCCATGAAATCAGAAGTGAGAATGGGGACATAAAATGTGCACACAATGTTTGAAGTTGACTGGTAAGGCTGCCCAGATTGCAAGAGCGATGAGAAGGTATAGCATAGAAGTGATAGGCTAGAAATCTGTGAGGAACCGGCAGATCGAATGGAAGTGGACTCTACAAAACTGTCAACTGGAGAGGAGTCAATAATCTACTCCGATATTGTCACACAGACGACACAACAACCACGAGCACAGAACACTGAGTTTTCGAGTGGCTATCATCAAGTCTCCAACAGCATCGAAAACTCTCTCTGTCATGCAGTGGGAACCAATCTCCTCCTACAGGATCAGGATCATGACAGCAACACTCAACTCACAAGGAAGGAGAGTCACAATCATACAATGCCAGTGCTACGCACCTACAAATAATCCGGATGAAGAGAAGAGGGAGGAATTCTACAAACAACTGCAATCACTACCAGACAAGACACCACCGAAGATGGCGACACAGAATTCGAATGAGTGGAGTGAGATGAATGCCAAACTGGGAGTGGACAACACACGAAGGAATCAATCATGGGTCGAGAAGCACTCGATGAGGTGAACCAGAATGGAGAAGTGTTTGCAGATTTCTGCGCACTCAACGATCTCGTGATTGGAGGTGATGCAGTGTGTACAAACACAAGGATATTCACAAGGCGGTGACATGCATTTGATTTCAACAGACACCAGACAGGACACACTACACTACACTACACTACACAACACAACACTACAAATCAGATCGACTTCATCTCAATGTGAGTAAAGTGGTGATGGAGACGCAGCCTACTGGACACAAGATCAGATGAAGAAAGGGAGCAGATGTGGGTTCACACCACTCACACCACTGTCTAGTGGAAGGGATCCACCTTCAAAATCAAGTTGAAAGCCTTCAATTCAAAGAAGTTTGTGATAGACGACAGTTGAAGTTCAGCACCCAGAACAGAACAGAACAGAACAGAAACTGAACTGAACTGAACTGAACAGGAGGACGAAACTACAAATGACATCTTCACGTCAGCCAGCTAGTCAGTCAGTCAGTCAGTCAGCCAACCAACCAACCATCAAGAGAAAATGGGAGATGGATATTGAGGAATATCTGTGAAGGAACCTGCGTGGAAGAACAGTGGAACTCTTTGAAAGAGATGTGGAAGGAGACCGGCATAACCGTGTTAGGAAGGAAGAAGAAAGAAGACAAGGAATGGATGGAATGGAATGGAATGGAATGAATCTCGACGGACAAGTGGAAGCTGATAGGGGAGGGAGAGGAATGTGGTGATGGTGAAGCAGAAGATAAACCAGTGCAGTGAAGTGCAATACAGTGCAGTGCAATGATGAAGAAAGAGAAGAGGAACTGAACACAACCTACAAAACACTACACTGGACAAGGAAGTGAAGAGGAGTGCGTGCAAATGCAAAGGACACTTCTACAACACAATCGGAAGTGAAGCAGGACAAGTCGGAGGCCGCAGGTAGAAGAGACTTGACAACATTATGTCAAATAACCAGGTTACTATCTGGGAGGGAAGAGATCAAGGCAGAGGAAGACAGTGAAAGATGGTGAAGGAAACTTGATTGCCATGTAGGAGAAAGGAAGGAAACGATGAGCTGACCACTTCAGAGAACTCTTGAATCGACCACCACCACCACCACCACCACCACTACCTCCAGTGTTACTACCACCTGCACCTCGTCCAGAAATACCACCAACAGCCCAGCCACAAAACCACAAGTGAACACCAGCCCACCAACAATAGCCGAATTGAAGTCCTGAACGCTATAAAGCTGCTGAAATGCAAGAAAGTAGCAGGACCAGATGGAATTCCTCCAGAAGCACTGAAAACAGACGCAGAGACAACAGAGGACATGCTCACACCACACCACATCACTATTGCAGAAGGTTTGGAAGGAAGGAAAGATACCTGCCGACTGATTGGTGGAAGCCAGGTTCGGAAACGCAAGACAAGCCCTCATTAATTCCGTACTAGATTTGTTTATTTGATTTATAGTACACAGTGATAGTGTTATTTATTATTTTTATTATTTATTTAATAAGTGAATAATTCTATATCACTGTGGGTTATAAATCAAATAAACAAATCTAACGCGGAATTAAATACTACCACAGTGCACATGTTTTACACCATCAGTCTGAAATCGGTGTGGGGATCTTCTGCACTGCACTCAGCATAAAGCGTGAACAACAATCAGATTATCAACACTAATTCAGTCAAGTAAGTACTTCTGTATCACTCGGAGACTTGGCACATTACGAAAAGCACTTCCAACAAACTCCAAACATATATCAACAGCTGTTGCCCTAACTCACTCGTTACTTAAGACCAGATGGCCAGAAAGAATGAACAACAAGGAGCTCACTCTGGGTGGCAACGAACTAACCAAGAACCTATCGCCCAACAAATATTCAGAAGAAATTGGAGATTTGTTGGATTGGACATACACTGAGAAGTTCATTCGTGGACATCACACGCTAGGCCAGGCCGTCGAGTGCAATCCAAAGGGGAAACGACGAGTTGGGCTTCCGAGGGTGACATGGAGGAGATCATGTGAGGAGGAAATGAAAGCTTGTGGGCAGTGGTGGAGCCAGGTAAAAATGACTGCAGAGAGGAGAGTAAAATGGAGACGTGATACTGAAGCCCTATGTTCCACTAAGAGCCTAAGGGACAAATATTAATAATAATAAATGGACAAGTGAATTAACTTTTTGTTACTCATAGTTTCTCCTTCCTTTGTAGTTTGCTCCGTTAGTTTAAAGAAAAGGCAGCTAACTGCTGTACACTGTCAGTCAAACTAGCCGATGTATCTGAAGTTCCTACTATGCAATATTATCTTAATGCTATCAAAGTAGATCCATTTATAGTATTATGCAGATTTAGCGTGACAAAGTCATTCATTCATTACCAAGCAATAACGTAAATCTTCACTTTTACTTCTGCATTCCCTGATGGGCTATGGGTAACTTATTCACAAATTTAATCGACTAATTTAATATAAGGAGAAGAAACGAATCAGAAAGTAACTAGGCAGCTAGCATGATTTGACATATAGTCTCACAACATAGATACAGTCTATCACTAATCACAGATGAGTACCCAATGAATATTTTCTTATAATCTGCGCTGGTAAATAAATGGCACCAAAATTGATGAAACTGATCCTCCACCAATAATTAAATTATATTTTCACTAGTTAAGTGTCGGTATCCACTATTAGGGATTGGCATCCTTTTCTGAAGTGTCCACATTATGGTGGTTTGCTCAACCTCAGACATTTACTGTTACTTAAACATAGGGTTTAATTAAAATAGATTGATAGACAGCCAAAATCAACATCGAATCTTTCACACAAGTGCAACGCTTGAATTTGCAGCACAAGTGCTTAGAGAACTAGTGATATCAAAGTAGACAAAAGGTGTATGGGAGAAAGAATTTGAAAATGAAGGTTAGCAGGCATGTTCTAACTTCAGGAGACATCAGAGAGTGAACACGTCTGCGCCATTGGGACAGATTTTCCCCAAGAGCCTCCAACTATACAGTCGTGTGGTCTCAAGGACCCCAGCATGCAGTTTATACCCCCCTTTACTACACAAAACAACAGTCAGACACTTCACAGAGTGATACCAAGTCTTGGTATGGCCAACCTGAATCTTCATTCAACCCAGTTTTACTTTGGCTAACATTACACATAGAGGTAAGCAGTGGGTTGGGATGTACAACATATGCCCAAGCCACCTCAGTCAGTGAATGTTTACAACCTCACTGACTGTCTTGCCTTCCTCGCTTAGTACCCTTCGGCTTACGTCGGCACTATTCACGTGGTGATTCCACCAGTCGAGTTTTAATCTTAGCTTAAAGGTGAGACACCACCCAATCAGTGAAGATACTAAATTAGTCATCCGCCCTGTCTCTTTTGATGTACGTATGGTTCCCAAAAACATGTAATGTTGACAGTATAACGGAGAGATTTTATATCATTTGTCTCAAGATTAAGAACTTATACTGCTTTGAAAGTGTAACATCCGACGTTATCGCAGAGGAAAAGTGCTTTTAATACTAGGTACTGGCTGAAAGCAAAACCCAAGTTGGGACCACAACCGGATACAAACTAGTAACCTCTGGGCTACCGACGCTGCCCTTTACTGCTCAGGCTAAGTGACTCAGTTGTTGACCAGATTTCAGCTTCATCGTAATCACTAAGAACTGGTAGCTTAGAGGTGGTGGCCTCAAAACTGTCTACGATTCAGATTTTAATTTCACGTTTGATCGGCACCACACCATAAATATCGGTCTATCATACTACGGTTATCTGAGGTGATCTCACCAATAAACATACTTTCTGTATTTATAAACTAAGTTATGCTATTTTTCCAGTATCCTGGGAAAGAGTCATTAAAGACTGTCTTCCACAACCACTACTAGAGTGTGTAACAGATTATAATTGACTGGTAATCGTAGAACACCTCACGAATAATATCTTGAAATAAAGCAACCCCAAAAATGAAATTTCAGTGTGCCGGAAATTCCTAAATTTTAAAGAAGAATAGCAATGCTTAAAATATGGATTTCTATGGAATATTTTGGAGCTTTAAAACACGCTCATAAGATAGAACGGACTTGAATAACTGAAGTAACAACATTTAAAAAATAATGAACTTCACGAAAAAACGAAGTTTGCTAGGTGTAATATAGTGGGGATTAAAGTTATTCATTACAGAATAGTGCATATAAAGGATAGAAAGCCTACTAAATGTTTCCTATTTTCTGATAGTCATTAACATAGACTTAGGAGGTGAATAAATATAATTCCATTGGCAAAATGCAATATAAACATCA